TGTAAAATTCTGGGGTGTTTAGCTTTCTCTTCCATATTCATCCATACCTTTACCCCAGCCCCATTACAACCCTGCATAAAGCCCTCTTGATTTGTGCATGCATGTGTTATTAGCAGTGGAGAAGTAGAATTTGAGCAAGCCTATGGTAGGATGATTTTCTGGAGTTGATTTGAGTGATATACTAAATTAATTGATACACTTGAGAGAAAATTGAGGGCATCCTGTGAGGAACCATTTTTGTGTAATTAGCAGTTGCAGTTGGAATTGGCAAGTCTTGTGATTTGAGATTAAGGAATTTTTGTCCTGATTGTTTTATCTGTTCAAGACTTGTGATTTTTGTTATCTTTTGTATACTTGCTAATTATTAGGAAGGATAGTTGATCTTCACACTTTTCTTATTTCTTTGCTTTCTTTTTCTATTCTAGTTTTTGCCCAGGAGTGCAAAAAGATAAGTGTGGGAGAATTTGATAACTCATATTTTATTACACTTATTTGTTACTCTTGATTAGTATTTTTAGGATTTATTTGAATAAAATAATGATGTTTTGAGTTATTTTACATTTTTAGTTTTTGATTGGGTTTAATTTATTTTCGTCAGAATTTTTCAGCTTTACGTTACTTCTGTATTTTGGCCATATCTTGGTCCACAGTTGTCGGATTGACTCCGTTCTTGTTGGGTTTTTCAGATAACACAAAGGGCTACAATTCTTATGAATAGCTCGAAGCCCAATTCGGATTGGAAGCTAGTCGATTTCGTGCGCCAAGTCGGACACGTTTTGCTGAAGTTTTATTTTATTTTTATGTATTTTATTTCGTATTTTAGACATATGGGCCGGTTAGAACTGAACCCTAACCCGCTTTGGGTAGGGGTATATGACGGCAGAGTAGGAAACATTGTAGTCATTCTGTAATTTTCAAAATTGAGGATCAAAGTATTTTCTCTGAAGCGTTCTTCATCTTTTTCTTCTTCTTCTTCTTTTTATTTCAATCATGTTTACCTTAGCCATGCGAGGCTAAGAACCTTTTAATCAACCTAAGGGTAATGGATTCCATGGATTAGTCTTGAGGATCTGCGTTTATTTCAAATCAGTTTTGTTTCCCTTCCCAACTCAGATTGATATCGTGCGATCGTGGATATTCAATCTGAGGTTCGCGATTGCGATTATGGAAAGGGATTAATCATCAGATTTGATGATTAGGTTGATTGACCCTATGACCTTAAATCAAGCGGGCTGATACTGCGATTGTATGAGTAGAAACATCGTCTTTGATCAAATGCTAAGCGATCGCTTAGAGAGGGTTGTCAATTGGAAATAAGGATTCTGATCCGATTGACAAATCAATCACGATTCTGATATCTTCTTATCCGAGGAAAGACGTCCATGGAACCCAAACCTTAGGTTGGTTATTTTTAATTACGAATTTTGATTCCAAATTTATATTCTGCCTTTTTAATTATTGAATCAAAATCCAAAACCCCCCTTTTAATTTTCTGTTCTCATAAGCGATTTTAACCAAAACAATTTCCTTGAGAGACGACTCAGGGTTTCCACTTTACTGCAAATTTTCTGAACCCTGATTAAAAAATAATTTTTAATTTGCGCGAGTTCGACAGCTCGTGTCATAGATTCTCATAACTACTCTTGTTTATTGTTAAAAATCCTTCAGTTTATCTTTACAAGGCTTACGATGGGCAAGTCACTTGTAAAAACCAAAATTGTTATTTGGGCCTTCAGTGCCATTGCCAGAGCCTCGATGGGAGGGTTAACAATTTTACCAAAGTTGAATGTAATTAACCATTGTTTAATTTCAAAATTATCCTTAGTGTCTAAGGATTGCCGACGATGGGCCGTACAATACTTTACTAAAATTTTGAAATTATTAAGATTTAATCTAGTGAAATCTGATTATCCTTATCCGATGGGGCTTCAGCGATAACCATTTCACTAATAAACCTACAAATGGAGCCCGCAGGTTTTAAAATTAATTAATTTTTAAAACCTTCACCCATTCAACATTTTTGTTTGAGAATTTTCATAAGCCCAGTCGAATTCATTGTTTAATTTCAAAATTATCTTAAATAACTTAGTATTATCGACGATGGGCCGTACAATACTTTATTAAAATTTTGAAATTATTAAGGCCCAATAAAATTCAATCATGCTTATCCGTTGGGGCCTAACATGATTATTTTATTGATAGGCCCACAATGCGCCTGGAGGTTAAATTAATTTCTTAATTTAAATCTCCTCCCATAGATATTTAAGTCCAATCTAATAAAATCCAATCATGCTTATTCGATGGGACTTCACATGATTATTTTATTAATGGTCCTATAATGCGCTTGAAGGTTAAATTAATCTCTTAATTTAAATCTCCTTCCATTCAACATAAGCAACATTTTCTAATTTTCAAGAATTATTTAATTGAGAGTATCCTTTGTTTGATTTCAAAAACTATATAAGTAAGAGCGCCGATAAACGTGCACTAAGCTTAACATAATTTTGAAAGCATTAAGGTCCTGAAATCCGGTCACTTTACGTCAGCGTGTGCTCCAAACAATCATGATACATGAAGGTTGTATGCAGCGTGTGTTATTCCATGACCATTTCAGAAAACCCACAAATTACTCGCAAAATAAAAAAATTCTCTTAGGAAATTTTCTCTAATTATTTTTCTAGATTTAAATCATCCAAATAGCTGACTTAATTATTAATCTAGATTGCAACAATCATAATAATTATCATTTACGAGGATAATTTGAAATCAAAATAATTTCCATAACAATTATTTGTCTTGATGTTAATTATCCAAAATTAATTAATTCAATTATTAATCTAGATTTTTAATAAAAATCATAATAATTATTAATTAATTTCTTAGGATGATTTAAAATCAAAATAATCCCATAATAACTATCATACTAGTCGCTGAAGACATAATAGCTATTATGCTCATGCAATCATACAAGTTATGCAACAATATGGCACCACCTATTCTATATGGCATGTTATCGCAATAAAGCATGTTATCAATCATATAATTTATACCAATCAATAAAAGCATTAAATAATAAATCATAATTACTTTAATCCATGACATTCCTATTTTAAAGAAAAAATGTTACAACTTTGGAATTCAACTTTCGCCTAGCCCATAGTATCTGTCTCAAGCCCCTTTAGGGTTTCCATGGGCCCAAAGCCCAAAGACCCAATCCTTTGGCGAGAAACCCTAGGACGCGAAAGAGGAACCCTAGCCGTCAGGTCTGCCGCGCCGTCACCCGAAGTCAAATCGGGCTGAACCTCCAGGGGAAGGACCACCACGTAGAGACGAGTGCACCGCCGCCAAAACCACCCAAAAAGGTGGCCAGACGCTCCCTCACTCTCCCATTCTTTTCCGGAGAGTGGTGGCCACTCTCAGCCTCTTGTGGAGGCGCGTGGAGGAGCGTGGAGGCTCCGATTGCGGTGATCCACCCACCGTTGCGTTCGTCTTTCCGTCTTCTTTCCAACCATATATAGATCGCCTCATTCCGAGATCGGTAAGACCTCGAAAAGTCTCCGACAGTGCTGACTGCGCATCTTCCTCGCGATTTCTCGATCTTGAACTTTTACAAAATATTGAAAAATACACAGAAATTCCAAAAATAAACAAAAACAGCAAGGAGGAAACCTAATCATATGAGATTAGCCTCCTTGTTACAAATCGAGAAATACACGAGAGACGCTAACCATGGATTAAAGCATTTTTACCGATTAAAATTTAAACTTTTATGAAAATGAATTATAAAATACACATGCTAAATTCATACCATAATCCTAGAACCCTAGGTGCCACATTTCAAGAAGCAAAACTAATTACATGAATAGTGAAACTAGATTCACATACCAATGTACAGCCAAGGCTCTGATACCAATTGTTGGAAATCTTAGATTTATGCGGAAGCGGTTTAGGACCTAGTACATTGGTATGCTTACCGAATCATCCTTGTTTCACAATTACCTCTCGGTGCGCAGGTCTCGTGTAGAATCTTCCCTTGTAGGATTCCTCTTCACGAACAGCTCACCTCAGCGCCGCAGCACGAACAACCTCCTTGAAGCTGGACTGTGGCAGATCTTCCAAACTATCTCTCGAGGAGGAAGGGGAAGTGTGTGGGCACTGATTAGATTCTGAGCTTGCCTCTTTCTCACAAAAGAGACCTTTTTGGCTGATGACTTAAGAGGTACTATTTATATGGGTTCCAAGAAACCCTAGCTCATTGGGCTCTAGGTTTCTTGGGCTCTTCTCATACTAATAACCCATTTGGGCTTTAGTAAAAGAGCAAACCCAACAATTTTAATGGAATAATATAACTTATAATGCGTTTACTTTGTGTTAAGACTTAAGAGAATGGTGACTTTCGTATCCAGAAAAAGAAAAAAAAGAAAGAATGGTGACTTTTTGACCCATTTAACGTAAAAAGGAAAACTTCTCAATATTCAAAATAATAATGGGTGTCCGCGTTCAAACGCCACACACACACTATGCTCAACTTGAAAGCACACATCTTATTTTAGTAAAATATTTAAATTTTGAATCAATAGTAAAAAGTTTGAGGGCTAGAGAATGAAAAGATGATAGAGATAAGATAAATAACAAAGTTGCTTTAGTTAATAAACTGAACAAAATTCTGCAATATCTACTTCGAATGTGATGTATTTATTATATAAAAATGTACAGTTGGATCCAAAACTTGAGTCGATCCTGCTGTCACGGCATGTTCTTGACTTGAGAGGTTGATCAAAATATTCTATTGTTAATTGTACCACCAAACTTCAATGTTAAAAGGTCAACAGCAAGAAGGTTTGAGCGAAATGTATTTATTATATTTCATTGCGTGTTTTTGCTTCTCAATCTCAAACGAAAATCTCAGTTTACTGCAATATTTCATTATCTTTTCTTTTGTATGATTTGCTTTATATAGCCTCTATTAACCGCAATTTTTTTGACTATAAGGAGCTATCATGTCAGGGCAAGCATCATTCTCCTGCTCCTCTTCCTTTGGCTATGGCTTCACTTATGATGTGTTTCTCAACTTTAGAGGCTTAGATACTCGCCACGGTTTCACTGGCAATCTCTACAAAGCTCTCAATGACAGAGGAATCCACACTTTCATTGATGATGAGAGGATTCAAAGAGGGGAGGAAATCACATCATCACTTGCAAATGCAATTGAAGAGTCCAGGATTGCTATCCCTGTGTTCTCTAAGAACTATGCATCTTCTTCATTTTGTTTAGATGAACTTGTGATGATCATTGATTGCATTAAGGCAAAGGGTAGGTTGGTTTTGCCAATTTTTTATGATTTGGATCCTTCTCATGTGAGACATCAAAGTGGGAGTTATGGAGAAGCACTTGCTAAGCATGAGGAGAGGTTCAAACATAACAAAGAGGAGTTCAACGAAAACATGGAGAGATTGGTGAAATGGAAGATGGCTCTTAAGCAAGCAGCTAACTTATCCGGCAAGGATTTCAAACTTGGGTACCCTATCTCAATCTGCTTTTGTCCTTCTTACATTTTCATTTGTCTAATGTTTTAATGTTATTGTTAGAGAGATATAACATTGAAGGCCCATCACTTAACAATTTGAACTGTTGAGTTGAAATAGTTGCTATGTTTTTGGGTTGATTTGGTTCTTTATAGTTATCAAACAATTTGAATTGTGCTAATAATATAATTATTCATATGTGAATATGATGGATGCATTTGTTATGACTTTCTAAAAACTTCTCTGATTGGGCAGGAACGAATATGAACATGAGTTTATAGGGAAGATTGTTAAAGAGGTCTGCAACAAGATTAATCGTGCTCCTTTACATGTTGCGGATTACCCAGTTGGATTGGAGTCTCGAGTCCTAGAAGTAAACTCGCTTCTGAATGTTGGATTTGATGATGGAGTTCACATGGTAGGGATCTATGGAATCGGTGGAATGGGTAAAAGAACAATTGCTCTAGCAGTTTATAATTATATTGCTGACCTGTTTGAAGGTTTATGTTTTCTTGATAATGTGAGGGAGAATTCAATCAAATATGGATTAGTTCATCTCCAAGAGATGCTTCTTGCAGAAATTGTTGGAGAGAAGGAAATTAGGTTAGGAAGTGTAAATAAAGGAATTTCAATAATAAAGCATAGGCTTCACCGAAAGAAAGTTCTTTTGATTCTTGATGATGTTAGCGAACTTGAGCAGTTGCGGGCAATTGCTGGAGGATCTGATTGGTTTGGTTCTGGAAGCAGAGTGGTCATAACAACTAGGGACAAGCATTTGTTAATAAGCCATGGGGTTGAAAGAATTTTTGAGTTAGAGGGTTTAAATGATAAAGAAGCTCTTGAATTGCTTAGTTGGAATGCTTTTAAAACTAACATAGTTGATCCCAGTTATGTGAACATTTTAAACCGTGCCATAAGTTATGCTTCTGGCCTTCCATTGGCATTGGAAGTAATAGGTTCCAATTTGTTTGGAAAAAGAATAGAAGAATGGGAATCTGCATTAAATCGGTATGAAAGGATTCCTGATAAAGGGATCCAAAAGATACTCAAAGTGAGCTTTGATTCTTTGGAGGAAGATCAGCAGAGAGTTTTTCTTGACATTGCTTGTTGCTTCCAAGGTTATGAATTGGCAGAAGTTGAAGATATACTTCAAGCTCATCATGGTGTTTGCATGAAATATGGTATCAATTTGTTGGTTCAAAAATCCCTTATAAAGACTGATCAGATTGATCATGTGCTATTACATGACTTGATACAAGATATGGGTAGAGAAATTGTTCGACTCGAATCACCGGAAAAGCCTGGAAAACGCAGTAGGTTATGGTTCCATGAAGATATTGTTCAAGTTCTAGAAGAAAATGGGGTGAGTAAGATTGACATGGATGGTTTGGTTTGTCTTGATTTATCTCTTGATTATTATGTAAATTTTTAACATTCAATTTTCTCTAAATGTGTGTGTTTGAAGTCCTCATATATCTACATTTGTTGTTGTTGTCAAAAGGGAAGTAGTAAAACTCAAATCATAAATCTGTCAATCTCCAAATCTGAAGAAGTAGTAGAATGGGATGGAGAGGCCTTCAAGAAGATGAAAAACCTGAAAACACTCATCATTAAAAAAGGTCATTTTTCTGAAGGTCCGAAACATCTTCCAAATAGTTTAAGAGTGCTGGAATGGTGGGGATATCCATCACAGTCTTTACCATCTGATTTTCATCCAAAGAAATTAGTTATTTTCAAGTTACCCCACAGTTCCTTTATGTCACGGGACTTGTCCATGTTACTGAGGAAGGCAAGTATAATAAGAAGTTCTTTTCCTTGGTCTTGTGTGTTCATAAATTCATTTTTAAGATTATCCTCTGATTATTGTTTCTTTTGTTTTTCTTTCTTTGGCAGATGTTAGTGAATGTCAGAGTTTTGAATTTTGACAAATGTGAATACATAACACACATACCTGATGTATCTGGTGTCCCATATTTAGAAAAATTATCATTTAGTCGTTGTAAGAATTTAATCAAAATTGATGAATCGGTTGGATTCTTGGATAAACTTAGAATCTTGGATGCTCAAGGTTGCATCAAGCTAGGGAGTTTTCCACCCATCAAGTTGACCTCTCTTGAAGAACTCAATCTTTCATATTGCTCAAGTCTTGAGAACTTTCCAGAGTTAGTAGGAAAGATGGAAAACATGAAACACCTTAGTTTGATAGACACTAACATAAGAGAATTGCCATTTTCTATTCAAAATCTTACTCAGCTTCTAAGTTTACAACTGCGAGAGTGTGGAATGGTTCAGATACCAAGTAGCATTGTCATGTTGCCAGAACTAGAAGAGTTAAGTGTTTGTGAATGTGAAGGGTTGAAATTGTATGAACAAGAGAAAGGTGAAGTGCAAGTGAGCTCAAAGGTGTGTTCAAGAATAGAATGTGTTGATCTGAGGAAGTGCAATATTTCAGATGAGTTCCTTCCAATAATTCTGGCTTGGTTTGCCAATGTTAAACAGTTAGACTTGTCAGGGACTAATTTCACTATTCTTCCTGCATGCATCAAAGAATGTCACTTTTTGTGGGAAGTAAGATTGGACAATTGTGAGAATCTTCAAGAAATTAAAGGGGTTCCTCCTAACATAAAACGGTTGTCTGCTAGAAACTGCACATCATTGACTTCCTCATGTAGAAGCATGTTACTAGATGAGGTTCTTGTCTTCTTATCTATTTTATTTGATAATTCATAATTTGATATTCACCTTGAATTAAACTCTCTCTACACTCTAGCGATGTGAATATTTTGTGTCTATCTTTCTCTTTATAAATATTAAATAGATGGGGTCCATTCAAAATTTATGAAGAGAAAAAATAGACACGAAATTTTCATATATCAAGATCATGTGAAATTTTAACACGAGAGGGTCCATGCTTAGTATATATATGTGTTGCTAAACTTATGAATTATGTATGACTAATAGGAATTGCACGCGGAGGGTGGAGACAAGACATTTATTTTGCCAGGGAAAAAGATTCCAGAATGGTTTGAGCATAGGAGCAGGGAACCAACAATTTCTTTCTGGTTTCGTAACAAGTTCCCTGCTTTGTCTCTGTGTATTATTACTCGAAAGAATAATAAGCAACTTAAAGATGTTTATTCTGCCCCATTCGGTTTTCACCATGAATTAATCATCAATGGAAATAGAGAGTTCCCACTTAACCAAGGGTATTACTCTTGGATCTCAGAAGTAGATGATCACATAGTAATTTTTGATATAAACTTGGAAGATAATGTAGATCTAGTAGTCTTAGAAAATTCATGGAATCATGTGGTGTTTTCCATTGATATCCCTGAAAGGAAGCCTATGGATATATGGACCTTACAAACTGGACTTCATGTATTCAAAAAAAGAAATAACATGAAGGATATCCTATTCACTTATCAGCACATGGAGCAGGACACAGAGTGGCCTTCTTTGCTTACAACTCCAGCATTGAATGCTAATGTGAACTCGGATTCAAATTCAATGGTGTCAAAGTGGATAATAAGTAGCACCACTAGTTTCCAAGGTAAATACATTTGTACATTTCTTTTTCTTTGTACTTTCGGTATTAACTGTTTTACTTGCCCTATTTATTTTACTTCTCTACACAAGTGAAGTAAACAACAAACGAGAACTAGGACTAGAGTGCTCATGGGGTGCATTATTAATATTTTCTTGAAGGAATATATAAATGGCATCACATAAATGGATAAAATAGAATTTTATTCTTTGCATAAAGTTAGAGACTGATATCCACAAGTAGTAGGGCAATTTTTGTATGCAATCTTACTCTTATATAATTACAAAGAGATTGTTTCCCGAATTCGAACATATGACATTTCAATCACAAAGGAACAACTTTATCACTACTCCAGGCTCACCCTCTTTGTTCTCAATATTGATATCAAGAGTTCGAGACAGAAAAATAAAGAAGGTACCAGGTGAAAATAGTGTTAATGCTTCTTGATTTTCAGGTATGCAAGAGAAACAAAATTTAACCTCCATTGTCCAACAAAGCTTTGAAGGCTGTGAAAGCGTAAATGAAGCCAAAGGAAAAGGAATGATAACATGCAACAGCAAGGATGAGGAGCACAATGAAAGGAATCCATTATTGGAGCTGTTATCAAAGACAAAGGTGAGGGTATTGATGGCTTTTTCTCTCTATTATACAATCACTAGTATTTTCTAAGAGTCTAAATGCAAAAGTTTATAGTAAAAGTATATTAACATATCATCTAAATCCTTTTTTATTTAAAAAGAAAAAGAAAAAAAAAAAGTGGCCACAGATTAGTCCTAATATTCATGTGGGATAAAGATGAAAGAATAAAAAAATTGAGTATACATGCAGTATCATTTTTGGTATATTCATGTAGTCCTAATGTAAAAATTGAATAGGAGTATCAGATGGCAAGTGACAAAAACCAACATGGCTCAAATGAAGAAGAGAACATGTGTTGGGATCCGATGGAATTGGAATGGCAAGTAACACATTCAAAGCATCTTGAGTGATATTGGGATGGATCACTCTCTCACATCCAAAGTAATAACAGTTGTTCATACTTTTTGTTAAATAGTCAACTCCTTCATTCTAGCAGCATGTCATGTTATCTCAGATGTTGCTGCCAAAGTAACATTTGGTACACAATTCCTGCCTTGTAACCCAAAAGAAATTGATGGAACTGAGGGGAGAGAAAAGCAATGGAGAAAACACGGAATCAAGAAAGCAATGCTTTGTTTTCATCATTATGCATTTCTAATAGACACAGCTAGCTATATTGAAGATTACAGAATATGTGCAGAATTGTTAGGCAAATTAAGTACAAAAATTAGTAAGTGATAAGCATTTGTATATGACAATGAAATTAGAAATATGGCCTATTTGATTGTGTTTTTGTTTAAAAAAAAATTATTGTATAGAATAATTTATAAGAACTATTTTTCAGAATAAAATAAGAAAAAAAATCTAATTGATAATATTGTTTTGAAAAGTGTTTTAAAATTTAAAGAAAAAAAAAAGAGTGATTTTTTCACTCTGGTGTAAGAATAAAAAGTCTTACTCCGGATCCTAGTCATTAATCTCTGTGCGGTTGTAATTTTTATGTATTTATAACTAATTAATGAATATAATTCAATAAATTACAATCATAGGATGCACGGAAATCAACTGTTATTGTCAATATTGAAAATAAGACTTTTTATTCTTATACCGAAGTGAAAGATCCCTCTCAAAAGAAATTGCTTGCCAAATTTGTTTTTAAAGCAAGAACAGAAGGAAGTTTCCTTTGCTTAATTAGCTAGAGGACAAAAATGTAACATTGCACTTTACAGAGGTAAACCATAGTGATGTGGCTTGTCTTTCTCTTTCATCATGCTTCTATATTTAGGCTTCTAAAAAATTTTAAACACCTTCGTCACTGGTGAACAAAAAATTTAATATGGACATATACAGTTAGTTAGTTAGTTTGTAAAATTTAAAGTGCGTGCTTTCTTCATTAAGAATCAGTAAGTAATATATATAATATAGTAATTAGCTGATGTCAAGTAAGTTAAAAACTAACTATCTCAGATAATAACAAACTAACTAATTATAACAAATTAACTAATTATAACAATCACATATTACATAAATCTAACAATATAATGAATTTTTGTTTTGTAATTTATTTATTTATATTGTTTAAAAGAACTGAATTTAATGTTATTTATAAGACGTGAGTTTAATAACAGACGTAAAATGCAGAATAACATGTGTTTGCATCGTCGGGTATATGCACGTATGTTATGTCATTTTATATTTTCTTATTTTTAATTTTTTTTTTAATGTAACCAAACAAGAAGCTATTCATTTTTCTCTTGTTTTTCTCTTGTTTTCTCTTCATCCAAACATGTGAAAGGAAAACTTATGACTTCTAGAAAAACATTAAAACCCAATAGTTCGTTTAAATATTTGGTTTCATTTGAACTTTTTTAAAATAACTAATTACTGACAAATGTTTAATTTTAGTGTGTAATAGAAAAAGGTGGATAAAGCTTGTGGAAGAAATTAACACCAAAAGAAAGCAACCACCATTTGTAATAGAAATAGGACATGCATGAAAAACGACATCAGTGTTTTAAATTGTGACAACTCAAATATAATGACAATAACTTGAATGTTAGTTATGTAACCTTTGTTTTTTATTGAATAAATAAATAAACTTTATATAGCAGAACAAAACTAAAGACCTAGCTCGTAGAAGAAGAAGAAGAAGAAGGAAACTATGTCGAAAACATCATTACCAAGTTTTTCATGTTATAATACAACGTTGGCATTTGCCAGCAAATTCTGGAGCACTGATGATGTCATGGAAAGGCGTGTTCCCCTTTTGACTCTCCAAATTGCCTACAATATTCTCGTTTCACGTCTTTTGTACTACCTCCTCAAGCCCCTCCATGTCCCTATTTTTGTTGCTCAGATTCTTGTAAGCATATATTCACATCCATCTACATTCGTATTTTTCTTTCTCATTTTATTTTGGTAATTAAGAGGGGAGTCTCAAACAGTGATAAAGTTGTTCATTTGTGATTGAAAGGTCACGGGTTAGAAAAAAAAAACAAAGGTAAGTGGTAAAGTCTACGAAACAGAGTCTTTGCAATTGTGTAGGAGCAAAATTGAGGATTATCCTCACCCTGCCTCTTTGCAAATATATAAAGATAAGGCTCAGTATAAGAATTGTTCTTATCACATTGGGAATAATGATTAGTTTATATTCGTCAATTAACCTAATCGTGAAGTCAGGAGGGATTAGGGTGGGCGATCTTCCCATTTAACTCATACAAATCTTTGACTTAAATCTCATTTAGATTTAAGAAAAACATAGTGTAGCATTAGCTCAGGCTTATTATTCCTCGTGTGCAAAGAAAACTTAGGGGGCGTTTGGTACAGGAGAAATATTTATTTACCCGGGAATCTTGATTTTCAAAAATATGATTTTTACATTCAGTTTACAATAATACCCGAAAATTCAAATTTTAGAAAAATTCAGTTTCCCGGGAATCTTCCAAAATTCCGCGTACCAAACGCCCCCGAGGGTTATTTAAATGGGGAATGTTATATTTACAAACTCTTTGTTTACAAACTACATTGTGTCTTACCAGTAAGACACTCTTGACTGAAGTCTTACCGGTAAGACATAATGTAATTTGTATGTGGGGCTTTTATTTATGGACTAATCTTACCTCATGGGAGGTTTGCTGAGTTGGTGATGGAAATGACAGATGATTTTGTTACTGGGGTTCTATGCCCTATCTACTTTGCTGGTTTTGGCTTAAAAATCAACTATTTAATGATTGTGACCCAGCCAAAATGGCATTTGATGTTGCTCATTATGCTGCTGTTATCCATCCCTAAAGTTCTAAGCTCCTTAATTACAACTTTCTTCTTTGGTATGTCTGCTCGAGATGGTATAGGCATTGGATTGCTTCTCAACACTAAGGGCATCATGGCATTGATCCTGCTAAGCGTTGCCTGGGACAGAAAAGTAAGTAATAATCAATGGTTACATTAATGGTTTTATACTTCTCTAACATATACAAATAAGGATAAGACTGCATATAAGTATTTTCTTCACCTCATCCTCATTAAGTTGAGGTTCAACGGGGAGTGATTTTTTTATTTCATACTCCTTTTTCAAGTTCATTAGCTCTTAGTTACAGCTAATTCAAATGTGTGTTTATTTTTTTTTAACAGATTTTGAACTTATATGATTTCACAATCATGATGCTTGGTATTATAATAATGACTGTGCTGGTATCTCCCTTGATCAATGCTACATACAAGCCAAAATTTCGATTTAAGCAATCACAGCTAAGAACTGTACAGAAGTTAAGGAGTGATGTAGTGCTTAGAGTTGTTGCTTGTGTCCACAATGCTTGCCAAGCCACCGCAATGACACATGTCCTTGAAACAGTAAATGCCACAAGAATTTCACCTTTACATGTATTTGCACTTCACCTTGTTGAACTCACTAGATATGGCACTGCTCTTCTTGTAGCCCAAATGGAACATTCAAATTCAAATGCACATGGTGGAGAACAAAAACTCTCTGAATCACAAGCAGAGTTTGAGAGCATAACCAATACATTTGACGAATTTGTAGAAGGGTACAATGCTGTTAGATTTGAGACATCAAGTGTTGTGTCAACTTATGAAACTATCCATGAAGATATATACAACGTAGCAGAAGAGAAATTTGCAAGCTTAATTATCCTTCCTTTTCACAAGGAGCTAAACTCAGAAGGTGTACTAGAAACAACTAACACTGCACAAAGTGACATAAACAAAAGTGTTCTACAACAATCACCATGTTCTGTTGTGATCTTTGTCGACCGTGGACTTGGATCATTATTACAAACAAGTTTGAGGATTGTTGTGATCTTCATTGGAGGACCGGATGATCGCGAAGCCTTATCTATAGCATGGAGAATGGCAGGGCATTCAGGAATTCAATTGGATGTGGTAAGAGTACTTTTGTTAGGTGAAGCTAAGGAAGAAGAAGAAGAAGAGAACACAATGAACAATGATGCAAATGAGTTATTATGTACAGTTAGGGATAATGGGGTACAGAAACAAATGGATGATGAGTATATATTCTCCTTCAGGCACAAGGCAATGAACAATAATGAGTCAATTGTTTATTCAGAGGAAGAAGTGCATACAGCAACAGGTGAAGAGATTCCTTTACTACTCAATGAGTTAGACAAAAATGACTATGATTTGTACATTGTTGGACAAAGTTGTGGTAGAAACTCTAGAGTTTTTTCCAAGTTGTTGGAATGGTGTGACAATCCTGAACTTGGGGTTATAGGGGATATTGTAGCTTCAACAAGCTTTGGTACACGTGCTTCATTGCTTGTTGTGCAGCAATATGATTCTGGTTCAAAGCGTAAAACTCAACATCAAAAGAAATGTCACCAAAAGAATGATGGCCCTGAGATGATGTTGTGAAACACAGATACAAAGATTAGATATTGCAGATTAAGGAATGTTTTCTATAATCTTAAGACAAATTTATATGTATATAATTCTCGTGATGTAGTTAAGTATTTGGATTCCCATCTTGTTTTTTGTACAAAATTTACTCTCAAAGTTACATAAACATAAAATGTTAGTCATACTATTTAAGATAATGCAAATTAAATACTCTTGTTTTTTGTACTCTATTTACTCTCAAAAGGCACATAAACATAAAATGTTAGTCATACTATTTAAGATAATCCAAATTAAATACATCATGTTGCGGTTTTTTTTATTATTATTTTTTTAGGATATCAAGTTGACATGAAGAATTCTACAACATATGAAACGTTTAAATCATTAAGGATTTTTTAGGGGAGCTACTTCCAAAATTCTAAGACATAATTGTTAATTTTATCAAACAACACACAAACCCTCATTTAACATGTCATGGCCGAATGGTATGTATAAACAAAGACTTATACAATTCATTATATTTTCTTTATTTCAATCA